TAATTGTTCAGTTTTGGTTTCGTTAAGGGCTCTAGTATGGTTCATAAATGCAACAAAAAGCTGTTGGAATTTACGTTTTCTAAATGTTCTATTGATTTATTTGTTTCGAATCTCTGTGTGCTGCTTTTTCTTAGCATTAAAAGTTTGTAAAAATAGTATATTAAGGCAGCAGTACAATTGATATGGTTTTATAGATTTTTAATTCAATTTGATTGATGCATGATCTTTGAACTCAATTGATTTTTTTAATGAAAACAAATCAATTTAGTTTAAATATGACATCTCAAAGTGATAGTGAGACTGGAAGTGCTAGTGGGAGTGGGTCCATTTCATCATCCCAAAATGAGGAATTTATTTCCATTGCGAGATTATGTGATCAACATAGAAAACAAGAGACTGTTGGAGGAACTTGGAATTACCGATGTAACATTTGTGGTGAAACTCGTAATGGAAACTATACTAGGATAAAGGCACATTTGCTTCAAATTTCATGTGAATGAGTTGCAATTTGCAAAAAAAAGTAACTAAAAACAAAAACTTAAAATGGTAAGGTTGGTAGAGGAGTGGGAGAAGAAAAAGAAACAATAAGCAACTAGAGAAGTTTCTTTGCACTGTCAAACTCAAGCTGGAGTTGAGATTGATTCTTCTTCTAAGAAGAGAAAACCTAGCTTGTCACCTCTTGCTAGATCATTCAACATGAATGATAGGGCCCAATTAGATGAAAAAATTGCAAGAGTGTTCTATACCAGCGATTTGCCCTTTAATCTTGCTAGAAATCCTCATTATCATACGGCTTTCACTTTAGCTACAACTCACAATATACCTGGTTATGTTCCCCTGGTTATAATAAATTGTGAACCACATTGCTCCAATAAGAAAAAAATAATGTTGAGAAGCTCTTGCAACCGATTAAAGCAACATGACAAAAAAAAAGAGGTTGACTATTGTGTGTGATAGTTAGAGTGATCCAAAAAGAAAGCCTCTCATTAATTTCATGACTACTTTTGGAAATAGACCTCTGTTTCTTAAACCTGTGAATTGCTTTGATAAAGTCAAAGATAAATTTTTCATTACCAATTTGATGAAAGGAGTGATTGATGAGGTGTGTCATCAAAATGTGGTGCAAATTGTCACTAACATGCAACTAATTGCAAGAGAGCATTATAGATTATTGAGAGCATGTATCTTCATATTTATTGGACATCGTGTGTTGTCCATACACTTAATCTTGCCTTCAAGAACATTTGTTCGACAAAATATATTGATGGAAATGAGGAAACATATGACATGTACTATTGGATTACTGAAATTCATCGGAATGTCTTATCAAGAATTTCATCATGAACTACAATAAGAGATTTGCAATCTTCCAAAGATTTAGTCCTCTTAAGTTACTTTCAATTGTCGATACTTGTTTTGCTTTGATCATTGTGATGCTTAAGAGGTTTAAGCTGATCAAGCGGGGACTTCAAGCAATGGTCAAAAGTGATTAGTGAAATTCTTATAGAGATGATGACATGGGAAAACCAAACTTTGTGAAGGAAAAGCTTGTGAGTGATGATTGGTAGGATAAAGTAGCTTACATCATTGGTTTCACAAAGCCCATCCATGACATGCTTCGAGTATGTGAAACTGATAAGCCATGTATTCATTTGGTATATGGGATGTGGGATTCCATGATTGAGAAAATGAAGATGTGAAATTTACAAGGAAAAACGTTCTTTTTCATGCTTAAGTCTTTTTATCATGTTGTTTATCGGATTCTTATAGCTCGTTGGACAAAGAGTTATACTCCTCTCAATTGTCTAACTCACTCACTAAATCCAAGATACATAGCTTTGTTAGTTTTGAATTTTATATTCTCAACTCCTTGTTCTTTGATGTATATGTAATTTTCTTTTTAATATGTTGAAAGTTTTATAGTGATGGTTGGCTAACCGAGAATCTTAGTAGAGTTGTTTCTCATAGAAATTGTGAAATATCTCGAGAGATAATGAAGTACTTTCATAGGTTATTTCCGAATAATAATGATTATGACAGAATCTTTGATGAATATGCTTGTTTCTCACTTAAGAGTGGGCCTTTTGAAGATTTGATTTCTCTTACAAAGAGGAATTCTTCGGATCCGAAAAGTTGGAGGGCTAACTTTGGTGCCGAAATTTCATTGCTCTAATCTTTTGCTTTCAAAGTGCTTGGACAACTCATTTCATCCTCTTGGTGTGAAAGAAGTTGTAGTAATTATTCTTTTATCCACTCACTTAGGAGGAATAAATTAAATCCAAGTTGCGTAGAAGATTTAGTTTGCACCCACTAAAATCTTCGTCTTTTATCAAGGGGTTATAGTCAATATGAGGATGAGAAAACCAAGATATGGGATTTTGGTTAAGATGCTTTTGATTAATTGGGATATGTTGGATATTTAGAGTTTGTCGAACTCTCGCTTGATGAGCAAGATTTAGAGAGTAAGTTAATTTCAGAAGATGTTAACAATGTTTGATTTGTGTTGTCAAATATTGTGGTTTGAGTCTTGAGATTTGACACTTTAATATTATGGTTTGTTTGTGGATTTTATTGTTTTATACTTAATATTATGGTTTGTTTATGGATTTTATTGTTCTAGAGTTAATATTGTTGTTTGAATCTTGAGATTTGATATTTTAATATCGTGGTTTGTTTATGAATTTTATTGTTCTAGACTTAATATTGTAGTTTCAGTCTTAAGATTTGACATTTTAGTATTGTGGTTTGTTTATGAATTTTATTGTTAGACTTAATATTGTGGTTTGAGTCTTGAGATTTGTTTATGGTTCATTTATGGAGAGCGAGTTGATCTCGAAAGATGTTAACAATGTTTGATTTGTGTTGTTTAATATTATTTTAGACTTAGTTTATTGTTTGAGTCTTGAGATTTGATATTTTAATATTGTGATTTACTTATGGATTTTATTTTCTAATTTTCTATGAATTATTGACTTTATTTATGATTTTTTACATCAATTTATAATTTTAAAATTTTTTTTCTATGCCCTCCTCGTATCCTGTAATTTTAGAAATTGTCATTTTTCATCCCTGTATCTATCCCTATATCCGTATCAGTGCAACATAGCTTCTTTGAAATCATGCTTAGTCGAGCTCTCTTACATCATGGTAACTAACAAATCAAGGTCATCGCTTCCTCTCTTCATTAGCATCCACGACCACCGTAGACGACCTAACAACTGCTAATCAGTTGATAAAGAAATTCGTAACATCATCAGCAAACTCCTTTACTTTGTACTTGTTCCTAGTTCTTCATCGTTGAGCTCCTTGGCAGAGGAAACATTGGGATTGAAAGGGGTTTGATTTAGGCATGTCTGTGTGCGACAATGATGGTGACGGTGATGGATGTGTGATTGTTCAATGGCGATGACAACAATGGTGTTAATCGACGATGGCCAGGAATGAGGTTTGGAATTAATGATTTTAAGGTTGGGAGGTATTTTCTATGATTATAGATAAATTTGAGGTTTATTGAATATATATATATATATATATATATATATATGTAATTTTAAGTTTTTTTTAAATAAAAATTTAAAAAATGAAACCTGCTTTGGATAATAATATTTTGTAGACAAAGAATAACGTCGAAAACATTAGACATTTACATTCAATGAAAAAGCTTTAGCAAAAGACTTTTTTTTTATTAATAGGGGTAAGTACAAGGTAATATATGTTCAAAGATGACTATCAATCTTTCGACATTGAACACTCACACCCCTAAACATTTATAGTGGTCGAACTCAAGTTCTCAAAGAATAATAATAATTCTTTTACAATGGAGGTCACTTAGTTCATGCTTAGCAAAAGACTTGGTATTGATGAAAGGTTCACTTTGAACCTTTAGGAGTAGGTAAAGTTTGAATTAAAAAACCAAGACGTAGAGGAGTAAATTATTATACATGGTATTCAATGTCTTGGTTCATCCCCATAATTCAATATTCTTTTTCAAGCTTGCACAAAATTTTAAATCTGAATTTGAACCAACCATGCTATCATAAAATTGAAAAATCAACTTAACTCACGAGAAGTCTAAAATACAACCGATTAATATAAAGTTATAAAAATTACATTCAATTGTAACAAAAAAAATTACTAAATATACAAGCCTTTAAAGTAAATTGAATAACATTTTAAATTAAAACCAAATATATTATGTTTTTCATAACAAATCATGTAAATTGCATAACTATTCTAATTGTAACCTTAAATATTATCATCAAGAAACACATGTAACATTCTCGATTGCAACTGTAATGATGATTAATTGTATAACTTTTTAGAGTAGATATGGTAATATTTTAGGCTAAAATTCGTCATAATGTAATATTCTCGATTGTAACCAAAATTGTTACCAATTATATAATTTTCTAAAATAGACAAAGTAATATTTTAGGCTAAAACTCGTCAAATTACCGCATTAACTCATAAAGGCAAATAGAGGCAGATGTTTCCCATGGAGTGGACTGCACCAGCTGGCACAATGGAGGAAAAATAATATAAAAGCATTCAGCTGAGCACCCTGTCTAACCAAAAACTGTAGTGGGTTGAGGAAGCTGTACAGATTGTAAGCATGCTGGTGCTGTAAACAAACCTAAATAAATAGGATAAACTATACGTCTAGTACTTAAACTATCAATTTCGATATATTTTAGTACAAAAACTTTCAGTTTTCTCAAAACCATGCCTAAAGTTTAATTTTTATTTCATTTTAGTATCCCGTTAAAAATTTAACGTTAAATTTTGAAAAAAAATAAAAAGTTTAAGTACTAAAACAGACAAAAGTGATAGTTTAGGTACTAATCGCGTTAAATTGTTTGACAACGGGATACTAATATGAAACAAAAACTAAATGTTAGGTATGATTTTGAAAAAATTGAAAGTTCAGATACTAAAACTGATAATTTAGATACTAAATACGTAATTTATTCAAATAAATAAGGCAGGAGACGTAAAAGGTGGTAGCACATGTGATGTGTTTTTCACATTCAATAATCTTACTCAGATTGTTACATATGCTAAAAACATCAGTATTCAACCATTACAAGCTAATACAAAATAGAGAAGCAGAAAACAAAGGTTCTATTACTATATCCCAAATGGCAAGTGGACAGACCTCCGCTACTCTCGTCGTCGAACTAAGCAAACTAGCGTTCCATTACCGCCTCTTCAAAGTTCCAGTCTCTCACAATATCTCTCCTAACAGCACGACTACGCACAAGCCGTGGGGGACCAGCCATTCCAGCACTGTTCTGAAAACTTGGTTGTGGGGTCACTTTGGAGGTTGATGTTATAGCCGGCCTCGCAGACAGTAGTGCTGACTTCCTTGCTAGGCAGTTAGTAACGGCTGAGCATCTTCCCTCGTTATCTGAACTCGAAACAGAGTAACTCCTGAAAGAGTGTGATGGACTTTCCACACTGTGACACACCAGGCAAGCAAGACTCATCTTTCGGTCTTCGTGACCCTCAAACCAGGAATTATGTTTCTGTTTTGCAACAATACAGCTACACATAAGACAAATTGTAAATGTATCATAAATTAGATAGCATTTTTTCCATCATATTGTTGAAAAACAAAATCCAAGAAGAAAACAGTTACTGATAAATAGAAGCTGAGTTTTATATGACAAACAAACAACAGAGAGAATAATTTTGTGTTGAAAGACTAAAGAAGCTACTAGTCCATTGTCTTACTATTTGAAGTGTATATATTGCATCTATAACAAGAACGACAAACATCAAACAATCAATCAAGAGGAACATCAAATCTTCTGTCTAACACTATATTAACAATTATAAGGAAAACATCATAAATCGTTGCACATTCTAAAATCAATACAGGGCAGTCTGACTCATTTGGATGTAGCCTTTCTTTTGAGTAATTTAACAAGTAAATAATAGATACTGCCCATAGAGACTTCTTGCTTACTTATCAAAGCCTATGGCACATTAATTGAATAAAGTAAAATGTCATTCCCACAATCTCATCAACAAATAGCAAGCTAAACCAGTGAACAGCTCTTCCTTCTCGAAATTGTAAACAAAGCAGAACATTTCTCAATTGATCACCAGTGGCTATTTTAACTACTTATTATGCTATATCATTCCTGAATATAAAGCTACAATTCAACAGTGACACCCTGTCTGCTATACCAGAGAACTCCTCTATTTTCACTTTTACTGCCATTGTACCTGTGATGAACCAGTGCTCTGAAGATAATAAAATGGCAGTCTGAGAAAGGTTTTCCATTAACAAACTCATACTGCTTAAGAAGAAGATTGCCAAGCATAAATGAAGATGTTCTGGTCGGGGGAGCCCATCTTCCTTTATAATGCTAATAGCTGCAAACAAAGATCTCTCCATGTCCTAACTAACATTAAAAAGAACAAGGTAAAACAATGCCACACAAATAAGCATACTTTATTTGCGGCTCTTTCCCCCAAATCGGTTTGTTGTAACTCTCAGCTATATTGATGATGCAAAAGGATCAATTCAAGCTCTGCTAAAGATGGGGCATATACAATCAAATTTGTTTTCTCAGTTTCAATGAAGACAATCTTTGTATTGACCACATACATAACTAGGAATTTTCTTCTTTTCTATATGTCGTACTTGGTTGTCAGAAATTATACGATTATAAAAAGACATTGAAAAGATGACTTATAATGCTCGAATCAAAAGCATGGTGAATATATAAATGGAGATCTTTGCATGATCATTATCTAACAACCTCACTAGCCTCATGAAAAAGTTATAATAATTGAATCTGGAGCAAAATCTGCAATTTGTGTATGACACTAAAGTTCCCAAATGGCAACAAGTAAAATAATAATAAAAAATAAAATTAATAAATAGAACATGGAACAACTATATCTATTATTACAACTAATTGGCAATCAAACTATGCTTAAATTTGCCTCATGATCCAAGACAGGCCATGACCAATTCATTTCTTTAAAAGAAAAGCTAAAATGCCTTAAGCAAATCACATATCTAAGAATTCCAAAAACAACCCAAAAGCAGTAAAAAGAACAAGACATATCAAAACAATTCAACAAAAGAACAAAATTGTTCTTATAATCAAAAGAGATAAGACTCAAAAGCCCTATCTTAAAAGACTCCCGAATTTGGGGTTTTCATCAATTATTGAAAACCACCATATTTCAGAACAAAATAAAATAAAACCCACAAATCCCAAACGCATATGAAGCTTATAATCAACAAAAGCAAAACAAAAATCGTCGTAAAAAGAAAAAGGAGAGAAGTTGAGATCAGAGGAAAGCAAATTTACCTGAAACTCTTGGTTTGATTTGGAAAGTTTGGGGGTTGATTAATGCGAGTGTTGTATGCGTTTTCCTTGGTCGATTCCTGGGAGACTTTAAAGCAAGGATCCGTCCAAGAACAAGTGATAGAGCAACTGCAAGTGGGTTATCTTGATCTTCAAATTATTTGATTAATTCAAATATTAAAATTGATATATAAATATAATATAACAGCGAACGTAATAAAGTAAAACACATCTATAAATAGTTTTATTTTGAACACGCAACTAAAACTTTTCGTTTCAGTTTTGATAATTAATTTTAGGATAAACTATCTGTTTAGTACCTAAATTATTAGTTTTTGTCCATTTAGCACCTTAATTTTTAACTTTTCCAAATTATACCGAATATTTAATTTTTGTTTCATTTTAGTATCCCATCTTTAAAAACAAGTTTTGTTTCAAAAAATATTTCAAACTCAACAAATCTAACCTATAACCCTCCTACTTCTTTTAAAATATTAAATCATAGTAATAAATATATCATTAATATTCTTTTAAATATTAATCATAATAATATATCATTAATATTCTTTTAGAAATAAAAACATCAAAAATCTTATGAACACAACAATCAAATTTATATTTTTTATTTTTAATATTATTAAATTGTAATTTTTATTATTTTATAATATTAATTATAATTTTTCATATTTATCAAATGAATCAATAATTAAAATATAGTCAAATATAATATTTATAAGTGATGAGATTTAATCTAGGATTTTGATTTTCAATTAATATTTATATATATTTTATAATTAAATTATTTAAATTCTATTTACGACTACTGTCATCCTCCCTAATTTTAGAGCAGTTAATAGAAGCCTAATAGGAATGAAGAAGGTGAACATTTTTTTTATTATTAAAGTTTTATCAACAGATATCTGAAGTTTAACAATATATTATTCATGGTAATTATTGAATTAAATGATTACTAATTTTATTGATACAGTAATTATTATTGTGTCTCATTGCCCTCTCTATGATTGCTGCCTTCTTTCATTCCTCGTTGGATATAGAAAAACAATGGGTAAACTACATAAATGTGTCACTAACCTTTGAGAAAGTTTTCATTTTTTTTTATTGAAGTTTCAAAATTAATGAATTAATTACTATTATTATCGAAATCGGTCACTCAGTGGGTGACAAAAAGCTTTGTTATCTTCTCGTAATTATTGCTCTTGAACTCCTCAAATGCAACCTACAAGTAGGCATCACAAATCCGTAAATATGGGAACGGGTACCGGAAAAAGAAATGACATTTTCTAAAATTATAAGGTGTGAGCATAATAAGAGTACGATAATATAAAATAAACTTTTAAAAGGCATACAAATATCATAAATATTCATTAAAGTTTATAGTGAATAGAATTCTTTGATAAAAGGCAGGGATTGTAGTAGATATAAATCAAATATTTAGCACAATTTGGATTTAATTTATTCCTCTTAAGTGAGTGGACGAAAAAGGAATAAGTTATTTAATTTCTTTCACGACAAGAGAATAAAATAAGTTGTCCAAACACTTTGAAAACCAAAGATTAGAGCAATGTTGATTTTGTACTAAATTTAGTCCATCAACTTTTTGAGTCCGAAAAATACCTCAATTTAAGAGGAATTAAATCCTAATTGATATGCTAATTAAAAAGTAAAATCATATCCTAACTCATTAATATTTTGTTTATTATTTAAATCTTAAAAATAATATTGGGTACACAAGTGAAGATCAAATATCATTTTCGATATATTCTTGAAAATCTCTCCAAAATATCCAATTAATTTCAATCGTACCCCTAACTACAACAAATTTATCAATTTATGACGAAATTTCTATATGACATTGCGTATAACATCATAAAACACACTATAATGTGACATTTTTTTTCTTTTCGTCGTATTTATTGATTAATGGTAAATTTTTTATGACAATTTCAAAAATGGTCATTGATTTTCGTCAATATATGCTTGGCACCAAAATCTTCCGACCAATATTTTTAGTGGGAAACCTTTTAATGACATTTAGATAAAATAATGACATTGTAAAATCGTCTCCAATGAAAAAAAGGTATTAGTGACAATTTATTATAATGACGATTATATTTCAATTAGTGATGTTACACATTTGTCACAAATAAGTTTTATTCGTGACAATTTAATTCGTCATATTTTATAAGACATTAAAATGACGTTTTATTATTGTCACAAAAAATAGTTTTAGCATGACGAAATCAATATTTGTCACTTATTTCTATCTCTCTTTTTTTATACGACGATTTTAAAAGACGTCATGAGGTTACGTCACTTAATGTTAAAAAATAAGAAAATCTAAAAACATTATTAAACAATGCAATTTATAGAGATTTTTTTGTGTTTTTAATTTTATTGACATTATTTTGTATTAGATTATCTCACATTCTAATATTTCTTTAAAGAAAAACATAAAATAACAAATCGTAAAAAAGAAATGACTATATGATTTTTTATATATTATTACACTTCTATGATTTCCATGATGTTACATCAAAGTGTTAAGGGAAAAAAATTGATATTTATACTTGATCATAAAAATATCCATAAAGCTCAAAATACATCAACAATCTTTAAAATATAAAATACTCATTTAATAAAAATAAAACAAAAGAAAAAATTGTGTGTTACTTATAAGCTTACTTGTAATGGCACAATTGAACACAATATTTCATATTCTACATATTTTATTAAATAATTTAATAAATCATAATAAGCTCAAAATATATTTTATACACTAAAAATAGATAAAACTATCCTACAATGACTCTTAAAAACATTAAATCAAAATTGACCCTTCAAAGTATGTTTTACCGTTGTATCGACTTTCCAACAATCTTATATAACCAATTATATTAACTCGGTCATAAAAACATATTGTTACATATTGCAACAACTTAAAAGTAGCTTGATCATGGCAAGACCAATGAAGTCTTTCATGAACACAAGTTGTATTTATGCTCGTATAGAAAAAGTCAAATATTTATGTCAAATTATTTTTAATAATTAAAAACAATATTTTTTATTATTTTAAATTTATTAATTTTTTAATATTTTTTTTTGTTTTTTACTATTTTATTTTTATTAATAATATTAAAGTGATATACACATGTTTAAAATTAGAAGCAAATTTTCATCTCCCTATAAAAATTCCTCCAAGCAAATTCCACATTCCTTATTCATAGCAAGAAATTCTACCTTTTCATAATAAATTATTATTTCCTTAATTAAGATCTGCCATTACATAAAGTAATCTACATATTCGATTTGATTTAGGGTTAATAAGATTATCAAGTAAGTGAAATAAAATTATTCTTCTCTTTATTTTACTTTTGAGTGATCTTGTTTTAGAATTCTATTATTTTACAATTTTTTTTTGTTTTGCTCCAGATTATAGTAGAAGCGGTTTGCCAATTTCAATATTCAGTAATTAAGTTTTTTTAATTTATTTTTATTTTACTGATAAATATAATTGAATTTTTATAAAAGATTTGATTTAGGGTTAAAAAGATTATCAAGAAAGTGAAATAGAAATCTTATTTTATGTATTTTACTTTTGAAATAATATTGTTTTAGAGTTGTATTATTTTTGCAAATTTTTTTTATTTTGCACCAGATTATAGTACTAGAAGTGGTTCATCAATTTCAATATCCAGGTAATTGGTATATTTTTAATATTTTATTTTACTGTTAATATAATTGAATTTTTTGTATAGTTTATATGGTTTCGTCATTTTTATTTTAATCTATACGTTGGCATTTTTACATAGTTGTATTTGCTATAGTTTTTAGTTTTAGGGTCTCTTTGTTCTTACCCAAAGTAGTTGCATTTTATATAATTGAATATTTTATATAGTTGAGATGGTTTCGTCAAACTCAAATGAAGATTATGAGATCTGCTTTGTTAGCTGTCGTAATTCTTGTGTCCTCACTTCAATTTTCATGTAAACAATATTTTAAATAAATAAAATAATTATATAATTTTAACTATGACAATTAACATGCTAATTATTTTTGTAGCTTCAAATGATACCACAAACTCATCATCAACAGACTCGCATCGACACAAGATTTGGGAACGAACTTATAAAATCGACCCTGAGAAAGTAATCTAAGAGATTTTTTTATCGAAACAATTAGTTGTATTCCATCTACTAATTATGAGCCTTATTTTGTTAGCCAACAAACGTTTGATGACCAAAAATCAATTGAACGGAATACCAGTTGTAGACCAGATTCTCTACTGCCATAAGCAATGCACATGCAACCTGGTTCATATTGAGAAGTAAGAAGCAATCCCTACAAAACGAATGACCACGATGTACACTAATGCTATAAACTGCATGTATAGAGTATGGAGATTGGAGAGGGAAGATTAAAGAGAAATAATGGGTCTTGAGGAGTTAAAAGAAGTGTGGAGAGGGGAGAATGAAGAGAAAAAATGGTCAAAATGGTTGTCTCTATGGTCAAATGGTGCAACATCAGCGATTAACACGCCACATTAACTTTTCATCACCCACAATAACGGTTGTCAACATCAAGTGACCAATTTGTTATAAATCGATAATGTTGTTGATCAATTTGCTAGTTATGAAACTTTAGTAGGAAAAACAAAAACTCGCTAAAAGATTAGTGACCATTTGTTGTAGTTTACACATAATAAATTAACAACTTGCATTAAAAGGATAATTACCTAGTAGTCACTAAAGCTAACAAAGGTAGTGAAAAATTATAACATAACATTGGGTAAATTACAACTTAACTAATTAAAGATGCTTTCGAAATTTAAGTAAACTCTAGGCTTAATATAAAAATAAGTGTTCAAATTATACCATTTTTCCATATAGGTGCGTAAACTTTTTCTTCGGTCAGTTTAGGTGTCTAGCATTACAAACGTTACCATTTTAGTTACCCAGACTGTATTCGCCGTTAAATTCTACCTTTAAAAAATAAAAATATTATTATTTAAAAAAAACAACCCTGGCCCACATAACCCTATCCCCCTTACCTCCTCGCGTTCTCACTTCTCCCTACAACCTTCCCAAAATGGCCAAA